AATTCAATTTGAACTTTAACAAGTATGGAGAATATTGATGAAGAGTACAGACATTTCTTGGAGAACAACGTGTTTCCCCAAAACCAAGAGCTTAATAGGTAACAAATATCATTTAATTTTCTTGATTTAATTGAAATAAAATTTAGTTATGAATTGATATTGATCATTGAGATGTGGTGGCAGCTGGGGATTGGACGAAGCATTTTCAGGTTACTATGATTCAAGCTCTCCAGATGGTGCAGCTTCATCTAAGAACATTGTTTCTGAAAGAAATAGGAGGAAGAAACTCAATGAAAGACTCTTTGCACTTAGAGCAGTGGTCCCTAATATTAGCAAGGTAAACATCGTTAATTCATTTTGGTGGCCATTAATTAATGCTAATCATGATACAAAGTAATTAATTATAATGAGCGGTGACAATATTTTATTCTTCTAGATGGATAAGGCTTCAATAGTTAAGGATGCAATTGAGTACATAGAGCACTTGCAAGAACAACAGAAGAACATTGAAGCTGAGATAATGGAACTTGAATCTGGGATGCCAAATAGTATTAATCAAAATTATGATTTTGATCAAGAACTTCCTGTGTTGCTAAGATCCAAAAAGAAGAGACCAGATCAATTGTATGATTCTGTCACTTCAACAAACTCTCCCATTGAACTTCTTGAGGTTAACTATTTGCCTCACATTCTCTAATATATATATATATATATATATATATATATATATATATATATATATATATATATATATATATATATAAAGTTGATTTAAAAGTATCAATAACTTATAGCTATTTAGAATGATAACATATACTCATATAACTCAATTAGAACATATTAATTGAGTTATTTCTTCCACCTTTTACAATTATAATAACGAAAGAAAATTTAAAAATATTATTTGAGATATAAATTTTTTTTAATATAATATAAATTAGTAAAAATAAATTATAACTTCATATAAATAAGTTAGTATATAAAATATTTTTTGAGATATAAAATATGTTTTTAATAAATATAAATTTATAAAATATAACTTGCCAATAAAAAAATTTGTATACTTACAATTACCAAATAGATTTTTATATGTTCAAAGTATTTCCAAACCATCAGATTTTTAAATATTTAAAAATTTGACTAACTATTTTTATGATAATATTTTTATATTAATTATTGTTATTATATTAATTGGCTTTGTAAAGAAATATTAATGAGTGTTTTTAATTATACGGTGGAGTGCAGCTTAGGGTAACATACATGGGAGAAAATACAATAGTTGTGAGCATGACATGTAGCAAAAGGACAGACACAATGGTTAAATTGTGTGAAGTGTTCGAATCTTTGAACCTTAAAATCATCACTGCCAATATCACTTGTTTTTCTGGCAAGCTTTTGAAGACTGTCTTTATTCAGGTTAGGTTACTTTTTCTCTTTTTCTCTAATTTCACTTTCTTGTTTTTACTGTTTCTATAATATCAAATACTATCAGAATTTAATAGAGATGCATTCAGACACAATGTCATTAAATAAAAATATATCAATCTGCTATATCATATCATTAATTAAAAAATTTCAGTCAGGTTTAACGAGATATATGATCATTATGAAATAATAGTATTATATTTTTTTACACTGTAAACATATCATCTTTTTCTCATACTATTATCCATCTTCTTTACTCAATATGCATTATTTTTATCCATGCTTCTTTATTTTAATTAATTTTAAATGTTATACGAAACAATATCTCGGATGATAGTTCAATTGTTATAAACTGTTCTAAAAATGTAGCAATGTTATATTTTATGACTAAATAGTTGAAATCACAATAAAACACTATTTTCACTCACATATATAATGAACCAATAGTCTTAAGTATTATTATGCACTTAGTTATTACTTTTTATACAATAAATTCAAATCTGAAACTCTAAACGTCATTGTAATTTACTACTAATTGAACTGTATTTCATAATTAAGCACAGAGGGTCACCTAAGGGTTACACGAGAGGGAACAAAGAAAATGACCAAAGTTTGGAAACGTGTTTCTCATTCTTGTGCTAATTTAATTTCGGTGTGACTTTGAACGTGTTTCTCATTGTTTGCTCTATTTCTAATCTCACCCACACAATATATTGACCATGTAATATCAATGTTTTCTAGTACTAATTATCATTTAGCTTGTGCCTAACTCTAGTTGAAATAGATTTATTATATAATGACCCATAATTATAGGCTTACTCTCTAAAGAGAATATGATATTTTTTTATCTTTCTTTAATTTTTAATTGATATTCAAAAAAAATTTAAAATTGAATAAAATATATATTTTTAAATTGTTAATTTATATCAATTATAAGATGGCTTAACAGGTACACAACTTTTTTTATTTATAAGCCAAACTGAATTATATGAGTATTAAGGATACTCAAAGCCTATTTACAAATACAAGTGTTAACCCACCACTCCTCAATCAGACAGTTTTGAGATAATGAATGGGACACTTATACTAATCATAAAAAGTACAACGAATTCTATTACTAGAACCAACTAGCATATTTTAAACACAATATCATCTTTTAAACTTCACTTACTTAAATGTTAAGTCTTCTTCGCCTCAGGGTATCAGAAGCTCTTGTAACTACACCGAAAGAGTTCGTACTCTAACATTACATATATCTTGTTCCACATCATAACAATATTCAATTAAAGATAATGGTGATTTGACATGGTCATGAAGTATTTGAGCTCACATATTTCATGTACACATGATATATGTATATTTATGTGTATGTGATGCAAACTAGATAACATTTCATATTTTTATCATATCAAAGCGTGAGATGGAATTCGCGATATTTCATTTATTTATCTTTAAAGGTTGAAATTTCAGCCACTAAAATATTTGATCATAAAATGTAAACAAATTGATATATCAACAATTTTAAATAAAAAATTATTCAATTCATTTAACTCAATTAAAAAAATATTAATTGAATATAATATGCTAGTTGTAAATAAAAAATAAAAATGTTAAAAATTTACAAAAGATTAATTTTTTTCTTCAATTAAATTAATATTTTATACCATTATTTCAATTAAATTATTTTATTCAAACACAGTACCACTGAACCTTTTTTTTTTCTCAACTTTTTAAGTAATAATTTAGTATAAAGCACTAATATTATTTATATATATATATATATATATATATATATATATATATATATATATATATATATATATATATATATATATATATATATATATATATATATATATATATATATATATATATATATATATATATATATATATATATATATATATATATATATATATATATATATATATATATATATATATATATATATATATATATATATTGATCGCACCTGATCATAATGGATCGTCACAACTAATTCGAGCAGAAGTTGAGAATGAAGGGGGTACCTGCAAGACACTCTGATGCCAAAGTGAGTTTTGGAATGAGCAAACAAGTATGAGAGTTAGAAAGTATTGAATATCTGACTCTCTCAAAAGAGATGGTATTTATAGCCCCCAGCGCTGAGCCAAGGTCTCCATTATTGGGCCGCGTTGAGGCCCAATAACAGAAACTGTCAGGGCTTACGCGTGTATGGAGTCCAGCAAGTGGACTCCCCCTGGTCAACTGCTCCGGGAGAATAGGGGTTGGACCCGTGATTTCCGGAGGGCAGTTAAGGTGACTTTGACATGAGGACGTGGGCCATGTTCCCTAACGGATGTGTGGGGAGTTGCCCAACGGTCCATAACTTGGGTTGTCTATTTTTGGACATTATGCAAAGGTGTTGGTTTGGGTCTCCTATTCGAAGGGCAAGTGTAGGCCCAGTTCAGATTAGGAGCCCCCAAGTTATTACTCTTAAGCGAAAGGGTGATGACTTAAGTTCAACTTTCATGACCGAAGACTTGATTGGGAAGGACGGTCAAAGTCCTGAGAGGAGCGAGTTGTTGCCCGCATGAGGGACAACCTGTTTAATTGTGTCGGGGATATTATGGGTGAACGAGAAGTGAGACCGACGGGGTCAGTTGCTTGCTCGAGAGGACCGTATTAGTTACGGGGAACCTCTACGAGATCTCTTTCGATGCGTCTGTCTTCAAGGGGTTGTTGAGATGTCGAGGATTATTTCTTCCTTGAGGTAGTGTAATGGATATACCCGTGTGGGGTATCCGTCTCGTGAGGTATCTTCCCGTAGCGTCGAGCATTCCCTCGTATGGAGTATCTGCCTCGTATTTGTATGGGGATTACGCGTTGGAGTCGGGGATATGCTCGTTGATCTAGAAGGGACACGTGGTTGACTGTTGAGCCATGTGGCTGATGCTTTGGGGTGTCACCCCTTCAAGGGGAAACCCAAAAGGCCCAATCCAATGTTGACTTTTCGTGATGGACTTCGTGGGGCGTGAGTCACCTATAAAAGGGGATCCTTGGATCTTATTTGTCATTTTCTAAAGTTCTCCTTCAACTTCTCTTGCTCGTGCGTGAAGCTATCCTCCCAACTTTCCCAGATTTTTTCTTCAAGAGTTCTTCATCCAAGTAAGTTATATCCCTTCAACAACATCTTTCTTCAGCGTTTCAGGATTAAACATCTAAAATTTGCCTTGACTGGATGAATATTTGAGTTCTATGATGAACACTCATGAATGTCCATTGAAGTTCATAAGTTATGTGACGAACACTCATGAATGTTCATTTATATTCATTAGTTATGACATCGGGGGAGATCTCCCCGAATAGTGGCCATGATACAGGGGGCGTTCTCCCCAGATAACGAGGGTTGACACGGCTTCTTGCTCGTTGAGTGAATATCCCCCATGACAACGTAGTCTGCTTTAGCGTAGAGTCGAGGGCTGGGGTCGAGTTCGTCGCCCTTTCACTTGATCTACGATGGAAGGGTGAAGTTGATAATGTCAAATTCACTATTTTCCCCTGCTTTTTAGGTATAATGGCGCACTCAGTCAGGGATGACGTTCTGGCCGCCAACTATGAAGACGAGCCACACGGTGATGAGGACCCTCTGGTCTGGGTTTCTCACGAGCCTCGAAATAAACGGCCGTGATTTTCTCAGGACGCAACGGACATGTTCAATTGTCCGGTGGTATGAGCGGAAGGGGCACCTGCCAACTGGATGCTTTAAATTCCCCACTGTAATTGGAGAATATGCTCGGCGTATCCGGGAAAATGTTTCCATATGTATGAATTTGCGTTTAAAGAGGCGGGGATGCGCTTGCCCTTTAATGATTTCCATGAGGGGTATCTCAATGACTTCAATTGGCGCCCTCTCAACTTCACCCGAACGCGCTGGCGTTTATGCAGGCGTTCGAGCTTGTATGCTAGTATATGCAGATAAGGGCCACGCTGCCCCTCATTTTCTATATCTTTCATCTCCAAAGACAATCATTCGGAGGGGGGCAGGTGTGTGTGTCGTTCGAGCAGTTCGGGAAGCTCTTTAGGCCTTATCTGGAGTCTGTCTGAAACTTTAAAGAGAGGTATTTCATTGTAAAGCCTCTGACAAACGCGGCCATAGATTCCCTAAACACTCGCGTGGAAGAGGTGGAGGACGGGCGGCCAGTTACCCGTCTCGTGGACATATTTTCGCTCGAGTGGTAATGGAAACACTTCGAGCAAAGACCTGAATATTACACTATGAAGCCCGAGGACGTGGACGCTCAGGGCCAACTTTCATATGAGAAGCTGTCGGCCTATATTAGGAGCTTCTCCCCGGCGAAGTTCATGGATGTGAACAGTAACCTCATGTTCGACAACGAGGGGGAGTATCTTTTAGTTAATAGATTGGTCAACACCAAGGCCCTGCTCGAGTGCTCCTTAGACGGGGAAACCATGAGGCTTTTAGGTAGGGGGCGTGGCCATGATGATTAATTTTGCTTGTCTTTATGATTTTAGGTAGGCCCGCGTTATTTTCCGTTCTCTACCCCGACTAACGGTTCCTTTTTGATTACAGGTCAAATGGCTTCCCTTTCTGAGCGCTTGTTGAAGTTGATGCCCAAAAATGCGTCCACCTCCGGGCCAAAGAGCAGGGTCACCCAGCTCCAGGAATAGGACAAATCTACAGGCCGTGGCAGTGGTACCCCCTCTTCATCAAAGAATCTGGTTCCCTCTGGCGAGCTCGTCCAGATTCCCGTCAGCGAGCCCGTGACGAAAAGGAAACGTGTGGAGAGCGCCGAAGGCGTAGTGCCCGAGGGTGACAAAGTGCCCGCGGAGATCTTCGTGTTACCTCTTTGCTATCTAAACCGCGATCACTTCAATGAGGAGAGCTCATTGGGCGTGCACGAGGAGGAGAGGGAGGCGATCTTGTCCGAAGATAAGGAAGTTTGTCGAAATAATTTAGTGGAGGATGTGGTCGCCGTAATGAGAATGCTCGAGACAACCCTTTCGCTGAATGATGAGGCCACGAGCTCTCAGGTCTCTCTCGACGTAGCCTATGCCAAGATTCAAAAGCTGAAGGCCAAGAATGAGAAATTAAAGTGCGACATCTTTAACCATGAGTCAAGGTTCGAGGCCCAAGTTCGACTTCTCAAGGATCTAAATGAGTTGAGGCCTCAACTGGAGGCCCTACTAAAGAGAATGAGCGCCTGGTCGCCCGAACGAAGGAGTTGGAAGGGATCACTTCCCCGGACGAGGAGGAAACCGATACAAAGAAGGGCATGGCATCCAGGGCAGAGTTGATCGCTCGTATCTGAGTGCTTAAACAAGATGTAGTTGACACCCTCAGATATGGTTTCAACATGGCCATTGAACAACTGAAGATCCTGAACCCGGGGGTTGAGATGGTGGTTAAAGGAGCGGGTCCGTTCAACCAAGTTATTGACGGGAAGTTCTTTTATCCCCCGATAATAGTGACGAGGAAGACGAAGTTTGATTATTTTTAGGGCCTGCGTTCTCGTTCTCAATTATTTTGTTTTCGTGGCCGTTGTGCCTAATTTGTGATTATTTTAAACAGCGTCGGCCTTCATGGTCGGAATTTCATGATTTCTTTGCTTTGCTTTGATGCCTATGTTTTTTGCTGATGTTAGCTTATTATTATTTTGTTCGTCCTCGTTTTATTTATTTCAGGAATACGTATATTCCGTGTGGAGACGAGTGCTCGACCTTTGTTGTGGTCGACATAAGTTTTACACAAAAATATGTGTTCTAAGTTCGTGTTCTTCACGAGGAGATGTGTGCTCGACCCTAATATTTGTTCGGCACATGTTGAGATGTGTCGAGGGCGCGGAGTCGAGATCTGTGGAACGAGCGTATGACCGCGGTCGGGATCCTACGCTCGTGGCGTGAATTTCCCATCGCGAGCTGGGTGTTCTGCCATGTTGGGGTACTTCGACAGCAGAGCTCGATCAAGGTGTCCCTGTTGGTCTAGCATGTTGCTCGTCAAAATGAGCAACCTCCTGCCTTTTGTTGGTTTGGAGGCCGCGTCTGTACCTAGACGCGCCTACGTGGTCGAGCTCATCCCTTCGTCGGTTGGATAGGACAAGTCAACAGCTAACGCCCCTAGCGGGTGAGGGACTTAGCTATAATATTGCTTTAGCTTCGCAGCATTCCAGGGTCGAGGTAATGATTCTCCATTTAGTTGTTCGAGGTAATATGCTCATGTGCCCGTAGCTCCTTAGAAGTGGTACGGCCCCTCCCAATTTGCGGACAGCTTTCCCTCGCGGGAATCTTTCTGGTTTCTTTGCAAGACTAGGCTACCGACTTGAAATTCACGTTTTATGACTTTGTTGTCGTGTTGTGGCAAGCAGTACCAGTGTTGTCGAGGTCGGCATTATTGTTGTCGACGTTGTTGTTGACGTCGGCGATGCAGGCATTCATGTTGTTTCCTGTTGTTTGATCAACCATGACATTCGAAAGAGTAATTTAGCTTTAGTCTCGAGTAAACGGAAGACAGAGAAGCAAGTTTCCCACAGACGACGTCACTGATCGTACCTGACCAGAATAGACCGTCACAGCTAGCTCGAGCAGAAGTTGAGAGTGAAGTGTGGGTGGGAGGGGGGGGTACCTGTAAGACACTCTGATGCCAAAGAGAGTTTCATAATGAGAAAACAAGTATGAGAGTTAGAAAGTGTTTAATACCCGACCCTCTCAGAAGAGAGGGTATTTATATCCCTCAGCACTGAGCCAAGGTCCCCATTATTGGGTCGGCGTTGAGGCCCAATAACGAAAACTGCCAGGACTTACGTGTGTATGGAGTCCAACAAATGGACTTTCCCCTGGTCAACTGCTCCGTGAGAATAGGGGTTGGGCCCGTGATTTTCGGAGGATAGTTAAGGTGACTTTGACATGAGGACGTGGGTGACGTTCCCCAACGGATGTGTGGGGAGTTGCCCAACGATCCATAACTTGGATTGTCTGTTTTCGAGTCTTATGCAAAGGTGTTGATTTGAGCCTCCTATCCAAAGGGCAAGTGTAGACCTAGTCCAGATTATATATATATATATATATATATATATATATATATATATATATATATATATATATATATATATATATATATATATATATATATATATATATATATATATATATATATATATATATATATATATATATATATATATATATATATATATATATATATATATATATATATATATTATACATGTTTACTTGATAAATTCCAATATTTATTTATTTATTTTCTAAAAACCTAACCTTTAATCCTTTATTATCATTATTATATTACATATTTTCAATTGATAAACTCTAATATTTATTTTATTATTTGATAAATACTCAGTCAAATGAAGAAGAAATTTTCATTTTGTGTTACTTTAACATGGTATCTACAAAAAGTTTTTGCAAATGAGGCAAAATAAAAATATGAGAGGTACCTTGTATATCTTACTAACATGTTCAGTTTGTGTTACTTTATTTTCGTCCTTTTTCAGGCAAAGAAAGAAGACAAAGATCTACTGCAAATTAAGATCCAAACAGCCATTGCAGCTCTTAATGATCCTCTAAGTCCTATGAGCATCTAATGAAGTGCATATATATAGTATTTATAGTTTTTAAATCACTGGTATAGAAGTGTATGGTTGAAGAACCTTGGCTTTCAAGTTTTAATTAGATTTCCTAATCATTGTGTTATTTAATTTCTTATCCCGTTTGTGCTACCTATTCAATTTACCAATTATAGAGATGATGAAAAGATTGCAAGTTTTCCTTCATTTACACCCATTTGTGTCTTTACATATCCTTGATAATACAATAACACCTTAGATCTACATAGATGGGATGTTATGTAGTTTGCATCGCATACTCATAAATATTCCTATATCATGTGTTACGAGGTGAAACAAGAGATATTATAAATATTCCTATATCATGTGTTACGAGGTGAAACAAGAGATATGTAATGCGGAAAGTACAAGTTCTTTTACTGTAGTTATGAGGACGTTGAGAGTGCCAATGAGATAATATCTAACATGATGTGTTTTTGGGCTTATATAAGATAGACAATTAAAATTACTTGTGTTCAGTCTAATGAGAGATTTGAGAAATAATTTGATTAAATATAATAGAGAAGAAGAAAAATTTATGTTTTGACATTGCTATCACATTTTGAGAAAATTACCTTCGAGTATGTCCCACGAGAAGAAAATTAGCTAGCAGACGCACTAGCTACAATGTCATCTATGTTTAAACTTAAATGGGATAACGAGGCTCCCCAGATCACCATTGAACGAAGGAATGAACCAGCACACTGTCACGAGATTAATACTGAAGAAGTAGTGGATCAACCTTGGTTTCACGAAGTCAAGAGGTATCTTGAGGCTCAAGAATATCCGGAAGGAGCTTCAGTCAATGATAAGAAATTCTTAAGGAGATTCTCTGCTAAGTTCTTCCTTAGTAATGGCATTCTTTACAAACGCAACCATGATTTTGTGTTACTTCGGTGCGTAGACAAGGTTGAAGTTGAAAGGATCATGACTGAGTTACATGAAGGCACTTTTGGCACCCATTCCAGTGGGCATACGATGACAAAGAAAATCCTACGGACAGGTTATTACTGGTCTACCATGGAAACAAATTACTATCAACACTCCCGAACTTGCCATAAGTGTCAAATTTATGCTGACAAGGTGCGCGTACCTCCAGTTCCTCTGAATGTCTTGACGGCTCCTTGGCCCTTTGCTATGTGGGGGATTGATATGATTGGGGAAATCAAGCCGACCTCCTCTAATGGAAACCGCTTCATCTTAGTGGCTATTGACTATTTTACAAAGTGGATGGAGGCAGCTTCCTTCGCTTCCGTTACCAAGAATGTTGTCGCCCGGTTCATCAAGCAAAATCTCATTTGTCGTTACGGTATCCCGGAGAGGATCATTACAGACAATGGTACAAACTTGAATAATACTATGATCACCGCCTTGTGCGAGCAATTCAAGATCCATCATCACAATTCTTCTCCTTACAGGCCAAAGATGAATGGTGCTGTCGAAGCTGCGAATAAGAACATTAAAAAGTTCATATAGAAAATGACAGTCACATACAAAGATTGGCATGAGATGCTACCATTCGCTCTCCACGGGTATCGTACCACAGCTCGCACATCAACCGGGGCGACACCCTTTTCTCTGGTTTACGGCATGGAGGTTGTCTTGCCTATCGAGGTCCAGACCCCCTCTCTAAGAATTATGAAGGATGCAGGGTTGAACGAAGAAGATTGGATCCAAACTCGACTTGATCAACTAAAATTGATTGATGAGAAAAGGCTTACTGTTGTTTGTCATGGTCAAATGTATCAAAAACGAATGATCAAGGCTTTCAATAAATAGGTCAGACGCCAAGTGTACCAAGTCGGGGATCTGGTGATCAAGCGCATCATACTGCCTCAAAGTGATCCCATGGGAAAATGGACTCCTACATACGAAAGACCGTTTGTAATCAAAAACATATTCTCTGGTGGCACAATGATCTTGACCACCATGGATGGTGACGACCTACCGCACCCTGGGAATGCAGACATAGTCAAAAGATACTACGCATAAGAGACCCGCTAGGTTGATACACCTAGGCAAAACAAGGGCATCCCGGCGAACCAAAAAGTTCGGGCAAAAATTAGGGATAAAACAAAAAAAATTGTACACCCGGCAAGTTGAAAACCCGAAAGGGAGACTTGGGCAAAAAAGGGTTTCCCGGTGGACTGAAAACCCGAAAGGGCAGTCCAGGAAAAACTTAGGGAATTAAAGCGTATGACTATGTCTCGTTGGATCATTTTACGGGCAACCTTTGACTTCAACTGACAAATTCAGCGGTTCTGATCAATTCAATCAGCTTCGGACAAGGCAACAAATAGACAAGATGCTTAGAGATACGAAGGCTATAGAGGAATGGGAACCCCATGGGATTATTACACATAGCTATCTTTTCTTTGTATCAAAATTTTCATTTTTACGACGGCATTCTCTTACTAGAATGTTCGTCTCATTATACAAAAATACTTACTCAAAGTCAATACAAAGATATCTCCTTGAAAGTGCAAAAACTATTTGTTTTTCGTTACGCTTGTGTTTTATTTACAAAAACGTCCAATGATTCATTGTTGAACATATGCATTTGAACATCATTACTGTTTACAAATAAACAAAATAAAAGACAATTACTGATGGCTTTAACAGATAGGGAAATCTCTCTGAGTTATTTTCCATAAAATTCCCCACAGTGCGCAGCTT